TGTCGTGCCCGTGTGTTTTACAGCAGCCACGTGACTTTAGCACTACCAAACTGTCCAGCTCTGGGCAAGCGCTCAGCAACGGCCTAGGAGGCCACAATGCCTATAGGATAATTTTGCCCTTTTCACAGAAGAATCCAGCAAAATAAAGTGGTTCGGCCAAAGTCACTCAAAAAACCCACCTAACAGAATTTGACAGTGTCCTGTCAAACCCTTTGCTCTCTGTTCTAGCTCCACCGCTGTCTGTCACACCTAAATGCTGATCTGAATGCAGTCCCAGCTGCCTTTGACCAAGGATTCTGAGGGAACCTAGTTCTTAATTTCTTGTAACCAGGAATCTCAACAGGCAAACTCAAAGGTTGAATAGGTTATGGATAATGACTCACCCCTACAGATGTCAGTCCAGAGTAAAAGCCGTTCATGAGGACAGGCAGCAACGTCAGCAGCTGACCCTAATCTGGTCCTGATCTGGGAGAAGAAATGCAGACCACGGAAGTTCTGTTTTACCAGCCTGGAAGCAAACAAAACCATCGCCATCCTTTTTCCGAAGGTCCAAATGACTACTGCTCCCAGCTGTGTCCATGTGTCACCCACGTGCTGCGCCTGCTGCGACAAACACAGGTCAGCCTCAGTCAGGTACATCCCTCAGGCTTTTTGCCACGTGAGAGCATCTGGCAGAGGGGAGCTGAAAGGTCCTCGCTTCCTGCGTTCCACGAGGCCGGCGGTTCCTGTGTCAGCAGCTGCTGCCCCCACCGATAGCATGGACACCTGTCATGGAGGGACTGAGGACACGCCTCGCATCTCTGCTTTGTTCCAGATAAATGAATTTGCAGCTTATATCTTCAGAAATTAGGCCGAAGAAAGGACTAACATCACAACCCTGCTGGACTGATCAGAGCAGACACTGATATTAAAAAAAAATAGTATAAATGCAAATCATTTCTTAACTCCCCCCTATTTCCCACTCCACAAAGATCCTCTCATTTCCCAAAATCCCAAAGAGGACATTGGATTAACCTTTTCCAGTGTCTACATACAGCTAGGCAGTACTGTCCTAACAACATTTAAACATTGGATTAACCTTTTCCAGTGTCTACATACAGCTAGTCTACATTTAAAAATCCAAGCGGACTTGGAAGGATAAAAGTGCTCCAGGGCAAATAATAATTATTCTTCCCGAGTACTTATACAGCTTGTCAAGTAGGCTGAACTCAGACCTATACTGAAGCTAGACTAAGATCAGTAGGTGAGCTAGTAAGTTTAAAGGTAGTTTAGACAGGCACATGCCAGATGTAATGGCTGCACTACAGCCAAAAATAGTTAGAATCTGGAAAAAAACACTCCAGTTTTCTCCTATGGGCTTTCTGGAGGAGTTCATATCCCTTACTCTGGCCATTGGGTCAATCTGTGACGGTAATCCACTGCTGCCCTTCTCTAATCATCTTCACCCTACAGAAAACATGAAAATAACCTGTTGTAGCTGTGGTAACTGGACAGAGAGCATGCAGAGAGCCTCAGCACTGACACACAGTCAGCACAGTCACCGAGCAGAGGATTACTGCCATGAACTAGAAGGAGCTTTTTTGGTTACTCGGTTAAATAACTGAACTGCAGCCAGGCCCCTCCATGTGGTTGCCTTTCTAGTGCAAGATCAGGCACAGTGTTCAAGTGATCCGAGTATTTACAGGGCTACAATAAACCATATAATTGTGTTGAATTAAAAATATAAATTAAAAGACGTATGAAAAGCCCCCTGGGATATGCTACATGACTTGCATGCTGCCCAGGCCTTGACCAACTCATAGGTAAATCCATCAGTGACAAAGAGCATTTACCCTTTGTCCCCTACCCCCTGCATTAACCACCCTTCCATGTGGTCATTTTCCTTCCTGCTGAGAACTGACTGCAGCTTCCTCTGGGGCCCACCATCACAGCTCTTAAATCAGCCAGAGTGATCTCTACTGAGTGAAGCAGGTCACTCCCTTCCCCACCATGCTGAGCTCTTTATCTCTGCCGCCCCTGCTACCCTGGGAAGCTGTGGAACCGGAAAGCGGAGCCAAGCCCCCTGCACGGCAACTCAGATGACACACAGCCTTCACTGTGCTGTTAAGGAAAATAATTCCCTGGGCAGCACTTCAGCACCCCTCTAGGCCTTGCTATGGGCACTGAGAGATGCTGGCATGCAACTACCAACGCTGTACTAGAGACCTCACAGGTCATGGCAGCACAGTTTCTTTAAAGGGTTATTGCGAGAGCCTGAATTTGGGGACTAAAGTGACAAAGATGTCTGTAAAAGTTTCAGATTGCTAGCAAGCTCTGCGTAGGAGCTGCGGATGGGGACTGAATGCATTGGCAAGAACCTGTGCAGGGTTTAACCTGGCAGCAGCAGGCAGTACTGAAGACCACTGAAGGTGAGGATTAAGGGTCACAGGCTGAGCTACAGGTGAGGATTACTTCCCTATAATGGCAAAGGGTACTGCAGGCTGTGACTGGGTGGCCTCCAAATTCCTCCATGGATATCTTGCTCTACAGCACTGATAAGACTAGGGCACGGTGGTGTGGGCTGAGCTGAGTGGGGAAGCTTTCACAGCACCTGCTTGAGAAAATGGACTTCACCAGCTCCATGAAATACCAAACAAAATGGCAAAAGAGGAGCCAAGAATGCAAGCGTCAAATGCAAGGCAGGAGGAAACAACTTTGTAAACACCTTGCTCCTGTGTTCTGCTCCAGCTCTGTGCCTGAACTCTCCATGGTCACTTGGCGCTGAAAATAAACCAAGCCCTTTTAAGTAGAGGCCAGCACCAGAGCTTTCTTTAGAAAATGCAGGTGTGGAACGTGACCTTTTCTCCATCGTGTAGCAGGCCCACATGGCCCTAAATCAGCTGGTGTGCTAGTAGCAGGCTGCTATGGCTGGACAACTACAAACATGTTACTTCGAGTAACCGTTGTCAGAAGAACAGCAGCTTTGTAGACTTGGCTACAAAGAAAGGGGGAAAAAAGTAAGTTGCTATGGATATAACACAGGAACATGTTAACACACTGGAATTGGACTAAGACAAACAGCATTCAAAACCCCATTAGGTATGACACCAAGTTATGTGTCTTCAGAGCAGAAAATCAGGCTTTTCCTTCTCTGATGAATCAGAGGTAATTGCTCTACATGCTCAAAGCACAGTGACTCATGACAAAAAAAAAATAGCTCACAGAGCTATTACTCTGTGTTTACATGATGTACTTGGCATTTTCAAGTAACTACTCATACAATGCAAAGTTGTATACGATCTTAGCAGCAAAGGCCAGCGTGTCATCCTTACGCTGTTATTTACATGACGACACTAAGATTTCAAATACCACTCAAGATGAGAGACATTCTCTGAAAACATCTCATGGGAGCAGTAAAATGGGGTGGAAAGAAAACTGTTCTGTCAGGAGCGGTGTGCAGACACCAAATCATTGAGCAACCCTTCAGAATTGTGCCAGATAAGCATGACATGGCAGCTAATAGGATAAAATAAGGAGACTTAAGAATACGAAGGGCAAAGCTGCTGCGCGGAAAAAAAGCACAGACAATTATCAGAAGTGACTGGAAAAAGTGGGCAGAGGTGGGGAACGTGCTTTTTCACTACTGGATCCTGCAAGATATGGTCTGTTTAAAGCACTTCCGTTTAGTGGCGTCAGGTTGCAGTACATCTCTGTTGAACATTTACTCAATGCAGAGGCACTGCATGATTTCAGCACCGGCTGATGAGCAGCACTTAATGAGGCTCTGCAACAAGCTGCATTAGCGAAACCTCACGGCACACATTTGCACAGTACCTGCCAAAAACAACCCTGCCTTCCCAGCGCTGTTTGCCCTTCGCTTTTCCTTCACAGCAGCAAAATGAATCTCCAGATGAATGTCCTTTAAAGAAACAATCCTCACCAAAACACAGAGATGAGTGATTTTTGGTTGGGGACAGGAGATTACAAAATATAAAGGATGCTTTATGTCTTTAGGACCCATTTGCTATTACAACAGGCAACAAATCCCTCCTTCCACACCACAACACAGCCTTCACTGCACAACAGCATGACCCAAGTTGGGATTTTCACAACCTGTGCCCTACAACAGAATCACAGAATGGTTGAGGTTGGAGGGGACCTCAGGACATCACCTAATCTTTACTCCCAGGATGCTGTTGGCCTCCTTTTTCTCCAGCGCACACTACTGGCTCACGTTCAACCTGTCCACCAGGACCCCTGTGTCCTCCTCTGCAAAGCTGCTTTCCAGCCAGCCAGTCCCCAGCACGGGGTTATTCCTCCCTAGGTGCAGGACTTTGCATTTCCCTTTGTTGAACTTCATGAGAGACCTGTTTTCCCATTTCTCTAGCCTGTCGAGGTCCCTCTGAATGGCAGCACAACCATCGGGTGAGTCAACCATTCCTCCCAGTTTCACATCATCTGCAAACTTGCTAAGGATGCACTGTCCCTTCACCCAGGTCATTACTGTCGATGTTAAACAATATCGGCCCCATACTGCCATAGTCAAAGTGAAGGCTTTAGACTCAGTTGTCTTTATAGAGACTTGCCAGAGAAAAAAAAAAAAAACCAAAAACCTTCCTCCACCTCCCACTCCCGGGGACGTATTTTGTTCTGCGCTGTACCCTGACACATCACTTTTGCTGTGTCTGCAACGGGAGTTTGCAAGAGGAATGACACCTTCACAAAAGAGCCATAGACATGCGGCTAAACAAATTAATGACGTTAGGGCACACAGACAAAATGCAATAAACCGTAAAAGATGCAAGCTATTTACTACCCAATAATGCATAAACAGAGTTAGCTAATTTTGTATAGAAAGGGGAGCACCAGGGAGGGTGCAAAGATTAAAGCAGGCTGGAAAATATGTGGATTTGTTTTGATGGAAACTTTATGACTTGCTCTAGTGTAGGATCGGGCGTGGAAATGACTTCATTGCAATTATACAGTTACATAAAAAGACTAAATAATAATCAGAAAAGAATCTGCATTCCTTGTTTTATTAGATGAAAATGCTGATCTGGTTTCAATTATTTAGTAGATTGATACGGTTTTAGCCCATTGGCCAGACTGATAAGATCAGACTGCAAATAGAGAATGGTGAACGGAAAGAATAGGAATCACAGTTCCATCACTGTTTTTCAGGATACGTTTCAGGGTATTTCCTGTACATTCCAGTACATTTTACAATATGAATTTAGAGCAGAACAACCACCCATTCCAGTGTATAATTCAAGTTCTGAAAGACAGACACACACATCTCTGCAACAGTGCAACAGGAGGAGTTGTACTAGTACCTACAGCACAGAGTCTGCATGTCAGTACAACAAAGCAGCTTTCACCCAGTCTTTACTTTGGCTAACATCTGGTTCTTAATTCTTTCTTTGTTTAATTAATAACGGTAACCCCAACTAAAGAGACTATCAAGGCCAAAAGAATGCTTAACCCTTTAGTGCTAACAGAGATAGGCATGCTAGTGCAAGAAGTGCAGGATTAAACAGGGTCAACATCAATGGCCTGTCTACACTACGATTCCCAAAGAGCTGAGTCAACAGAAGTGCTGCAGTAAAGTGAAAACTGCTTGCACAGGCAGTGAAGGAACAAAGACTTTCTGCTCCCACTGAACTGGAAGAAACTGAAGGGCTTCGCCATCAGGAACAAAGACTTTCTGCTCGCACTGAACTGGAAGAAACTGAAGGGTTTCACCACCTTTCACAATCAAGTTCTCAGAGGAACAAAAGAGAAACACACACAACAGAAACTGATTCAGTGAAAAGAGCATATACACGAGCAGACAACACTGATTTAGTTTCTTATTTAAAGCTGCAATTCCTTATTCTGACACCCAGCTGCACAACATACCTGGGCCATGCCAAAGAGTGAGAGAGAAAAAAAACAAAAATCACTGAAAAGAGGAAGAAACCTCTTTTCAGCATCTCTGAGATCAGGGCAACACCAGTTAAAGCAACATAGCTAGGACCTCTGGAGCTCAGTATTTTAAAACAGAGTCAGAAACCAGTGCACGCATGGGAGAACTTAGCAGTATCAAGTTAACACTGACACTGGTGGTTGAGAGCACCGTTGATGCTGGTCGAGAGCATCACCTGGGGAAGAAGCCCATACCCAGCAGCAGTGCAACAAACTCTTATAGTGTAACTCTACCAATTACATGAAACCTACACCATGTCACAAACCTTTCATGTGAGCTTTTGACAGACACATCATTTGTGAAAAACCAATTAACTGTATAAAACGAGTTTGTCAAAAGCACACATAGAAGATTCACCTCTTTTACTGATAGGTGAGTGACTGCTGATTATAGCTTAGATTTTTAAATGACTACCAATTTCAGAGGCTTAAAGAAAGCGCTGAAAAAATTAATACCATCAGATTAATGGCTGCATGTCAGACCAGGGGGGAACCAAAAATCAGGGTTATTTGTTGTGTTTTGTCCAGGTTCTTATCACTTTCTGGCAAACTGTACATTTGCCTAAAGCAGCAACCAGCAGTGTTTACATCTGTTTGTAAACCACAATACGCAAAAAACAAATTCCAGACATAGCTCAATACGCAACACACAACTGCATCCCATGGCCCAGACCCCTGCCATCCCAGAGTCCACCTTAGGAGCTGCTCTTCTCAGGTGTATTTCTCACAGCTCGTGGGAGTTTGCATGAGGCTCCGGAAGCTTGTCAATGTCACAGTTCTTAATCAGCTGAAAGAGGAACTTGATCTGTTTCTCGTAATTCTCAACTGAGATTCTCTCATTCAACCCATGGATCCTGGTAGAGAGAGAAGAATGTTTTTCATTCCAGTGTGCATTTGTGACCCACCTGCATATAGCCAGCACCCCACTTGCCTGTTCACTTTGTAAAGCAATGCCTAACATAAAAATGCAGCAATATACACCAGATACTGCATTGTAACTGCAGTGCCTGTTCCTCAGGCCAACCAAGTCTACTGATTCTAAGGCTCAGAGCACAAGAAAGTCCATGGCGTATGTGGAAAAGAAAAAACAGTATTCCAGCTCTTTGCCCGTTTCTTGGCCATTTATGTCACTTGTCCTGTACAGCTACCAGAGCACTCTACTCCCGTATCATCTGCACCTCAATAAAATGCCAAATCTATTACGTGCTGAATAAACAAACAATCCCTTGCATGATGATGTTCTTTGTTACCACTTTACCCCAGAAAACCAAAGTTCCAGCTTTAAGGAGCAAATAAATTCAGTGGCATGTGTCTAAACATACGGATAAACGTCTTAAACAAGGCCAACTACCAGAACCACACCTTTCACACTGCTGCACTATATAAAGGATCCAGTCAGCTTCACAGCATTGCTGTACTACCGAATGGGACACCTAAATGAGGTCTTGTCTGCATTTGAAGTAAAGAAGAGTAAGGGCTAACACCCTCCCAGTGTAATTACCACCCCCTATTTGTGCAGCACCCAGATCTGCAGGAAATGGGTGGCCTAACAAAATGTGAGGCAACCTCACCGCCACGCCAAGGTATACAAGGTTGGGTTTCCGTCTTCTGCCTAATGCATATTGATTTTCTTTCACTAGTCCCCACCCCAAACAGCTGCCCACATGCAGACAGAACACAGTACCTGGGAAGATCATCTGATTTCAAGAGCAGTGGGTTAAATCGATAAATGGCATTTGTGACGTTAGTGAAATGCCTGCTGTCTGTGTTTCCAATACATGTGCCTGGAAAACAAACCTCAGGTTTACTTTGCGTGAGAGCAGCATTTCAATGACCCACACTTTTCCCAGGAGAAAGGAAAGGCATCTGATAACAGTTCTATATGCCCCCTAGCTACACCAAAAGCAAAATCACTGGAAACAGTTGGTATGTCCTGGAAGAAGAACATTCTCTCTTTCATGAACAGCAGCTGAACATACAATTCAATCATTCTAAGAACAGCCATGATACTCAGCCTCCACAAAAGCGTAAGCTTCAAACTGCAGTCCAACAAACGGTACAGAACTAGGAAGGAGCTGTGAGAAAGGGAAGGAGCTAGGATCATAAGGAACAATACAGAAAAGCAGGAATGGCTTTGTCAGCTATGAAAACGATAAAAGAAGAGCTAAAGCAAGAAGACCTCCTTCTCTCCCTCACAATTCCTTTCTTCCCTGAAGAGATTCCTTTGTATGTGCAGAGAGTCAAATTCAAGGCTTATTGTTTCTGTCAGTTTCCTGTTTGCTTTTTTACTTCCACTACCAAAAAACATTAAAACTTTTAAAACATGAAGAGGGAATGGAATAAAAAGAGGAAAAAACAGCTGTTTCCAGTAGTTAACAGCTGGAGTGGAGAAATACACAGAAGATGGAAACAAGTCAATATTGGGGGACAGGGGAGAGAAAAGCAGGGTGGAAGCTGGAGAGGAAACAATAATCATCATGTGCTTGCTGTTACCTGGGACTACGCTGTCAACATCTGGGAAAGTATCCAGGATGGTTCTTTGAAGAATATGGACTCCAAATGTCTGGTCATCCCAAGGACTGATGGGGAGTGGGTCAAAAGCCTCTACTACATCGATCTTCACTCTGTCATCAGCAACAGTGTTTTTAACCATCTCTAGCACCTATGGGTAAACCACAGAGATTAAATAAGCAAAAGAAACAAGAAAGCATCCCTTCTAGATGTCAGCAAATGTTCCACTTTCCAGAAAACGTTTGTCCGTGAACTGCCAATTGTGGCTGCAAATACAGATGCATAGTTAGGACTGAAACTGTGTGGCAGTCTCTCTTCCTCTTACTCAGTGGATGGCTGATACTTAAGCTAATTTTTTCCCCCCCCTAGCGCAATCAGATGCACATCACTGTCTCAAGGTATTCCTGAACTGGTTCAGTACTGAAAGACAGGTGGTCAACCTGCTGCTACCTGGTAGTTGGGTCATCCAAGTAAACAATCCAGAAAAAGCTTCCAGAAAGATAAACTTTCAGCAAAGGTTTGGGAAGGGAAGATACTATTTACTGACAATGTTTCACAGCCGTCCTTGGCTGGACAGGCATGCCATACCTCCTGAAGCGTGCAAGACTCCCACATTCTCACAGGTCACAAACCTTAACGTTTCCATTCCATAAGTCACATACGATCCATGTGCTCTTTGGCACAAAAAGACTTCTGAAATCTACTCAATATAACTGCAAGGCATACTTCCAAGCTTGGCCTGCCTCTTGCTCTGCTCCACATTCAGAAGCCATAGTAAACAATGCACTTTGCAATCCATCTCAAAGGAGGAGAAAAGACATTAGATAAGCTGTGTTTCTGACAGCCTCCATAAAGGAGCAATTCCCAAATCTTCCCCTTCCGCTGCTCGTATGAATACAGGGAGAGACGAACAGAGTATTCGTCTAGATCTGCTGCCACAAATGGCCAAGTGCCACTCTGCTCAGAAAGGGATGGAGAACAGCCCCGCATCCGGGGGTACAGTAAGTACCTCAGTGGCCTTCTCTGCAGAGTGGATCCGGAAGTTCACTGTTGCTTTTGCAGAAGATGGGATGACATTTATCTAGAAAAAAGAAAGGACCAAAACTTAAAAGGAAGTTAAAAACAGATGAAAATGCCAACTGCAAACTCAGAAACTGCTCAAACAACTCCAGGCCTCAGACTAATGCTTCACTCTGTTTCCACTAACATTAAGTGTGATATCTCTTTCTGTACTCCGTGTTAAAATACTGTAAATCTCATCTATAATGCAGATAACTACACAAAGAGATATTCATCGATTCAACAAAAATGAAGTTAGCTGTTACGTAGAAGTTTTCCTCTTGACATAAGCCCTCTCCCTTCAGAAATCTTGTATTTAGAAATTCTGAAAGTTTGTTGTTTTTTTTAAGCAATATTTTTACCTAATTGTCATATTACTTTTCCCCAAGTACGAGACATGTAAGTCGCTTAACAAATGATGTTACTGAAGACACGTAACTCTTCTTTTCTACAGAATGAATATTTATAATTTTGTTAAAGAAAAGAAGGTATAATCTTTAGAAAAAAAACCCAAGAAACCAGGGTGTCAATTCTCTCCTGGCCACTCAGTGTCACTGTTCAGCCACTGTATCTTGTTTTCTTGTCCAGTGATGCTTTTCAGTAACAGATTTTTTCAGGGACACACCAAACAGCCTGTTTATTTTCCAGGCCTACAGTATTTTTGGATAGCTATACCTCCTTATCAGGGCAAGATCTAGCTGTATCAGCCAGAACCTGTTATCTCTCAGTCCAAGGGGCACACTAACCCTACTCGAATGAAGGTAAACACCAAACCGGTGCTCACAAACACAAGATCCCATTTGGGCTAGGGAAGTGTTTATGACTGTGACACAGTTTCAAATACTGTTATTGATACTTTGGATGATTACATAGAAAACACTCTTTCTTGTCCATCCTAAAATGTAAACAATCTTAACACTAGTTTACAGAGATCTTTTTGTGACAGAGATCAGACGCTTCTGAAAGAAGTAATTTTCAACTGTAGCTAAATCCAAGCCACACCTAAAGTAAAAAGGAGACTGGTAGTGACACCACACAGGGTCTGAGACCAGGGCCAGTACTGAGCTTATAACTGGATATAAACAGGTGGAAACCAAATGTCCCAACTGCCTCATCGCACTACATGGAGAAAAAACAAAATGAAGCTACCTTGATTCCCGCATTAAACATCGTGACTGCTGTAGTAGTTCGAATCAAGGCATTGGTGGAAGGTTTCCAGGCAAGAACTCTTACAAAAAAGAAAAAAAAAAAACATGTTTCAAAGACATTTAATATCGATAAAACATAAGCACCGCAATTACATAGGCAATAAGCTGAATGATGACCCAGTCAATTAACAAAGTGGTTATTAACCGTAAAGCACTGACATTGTCTAAACTATGAAATGGTGTAACTGATTTCCTGGGAAGACCAGAAATAGCTAGTGGTCTTCATCTTTTAAGGGTGAGAGGCTGGGAATGTTCATCAAGGATATATTTTCTCACCTGCTGACAACAGGTGAAAACAGCCATAGGTTGCTCATGATGAGACTGAGAGGAAACGTGAACTAAGTGGAAGAAAAAAACCACAAATCAGAAAATTTCTAGTTTTCAAGAAGACAGTGTAGTCACTTGGCTATGGCTGAAACAATTCCAGCAGAAACAATTATCTGGGAGAAAGGCCAGCTTAAGTCTTCTCCTTTCCAGGAACTACGTAACTGTGCTCTAAATTCATATACTGGGTTACTCTTTGCTTATTAATATGAAAATCGGAGAATGAAATTACAGTTCTTTCCTCACCTCTGATGCAAGGTGCTCCATAGTCATGAGTTCTGGCCCATGGCCAAACAGATTGCGCAAGGGATTCTGCTCCAGTCTACGACAAAGAAAATCAACATTTGAAATTTAAAAAATCTCTGGCTATTATTGCTCCAGAAGGTCGATAGGAATTTGATTTGTGAAAAGTATCCCATGTATTTGAGATGCAATCACACTTTCCTCTCCTGGTAAGTAAATCTGTGAGCACAGCTCCCTGACAGATCTCTGGGCATCCCAGTCACATGCAAAGATTCTCTTTCAAGAACAGCTGAAAAAAATCCAAAAGCCTGACTCTTATAAAGAATACATGGAAATCTATAAAAACATCACACCAAAATCCATCATATCTGTACATATTAAGTTTTTCTAAAATAAGTATTTATTAGCCAATTTGACATCTACACAGACATGTAATGAGATGATTTACCCAGTCACATTCTGTCTTTACACCATGTCTATTGGCCTGGATAATTACCAGCTAGAGGTAGCAGGTATGCGCAAGGATAAATTCCAGAGAAATTCTGCAACCCAAACAAAGCAATCTTTACCGCTACAGAGTAAATTATGATAGACATCATGACATTGTCTTGGTTTTAAGGAATCAACTGACACTAGGAACAGCTGAAGCGAAAAGACACTCCAGACATTTGGCAATTGTCCCTTTGCTGGGGATTGCATTTCTGCCCTGCAAAGTGAGCTACAAACTTCAATTTCAAATACATAAGGGGAATTTGCAAAATACTCTAAATACAAATATTAAACAAGAAAGTCACGTATCAGTGACTTCGGAGTCTGCCTGACTTGTCTTCAACGTAAGATGACAGGGAAGCTCTCTCACCTGGACATTGCAGCTGCAAGAATGCCAATACTTGTCTCCTTAGGAGGAAAGGATGAATGTCCTGGCTCTTTTTCCACAGTGAAGTTCAGTGTTATTGAACCCTTTTCTGTGATAGCAATTCTGATCAATGATAAATAGATAAATAAATAAATAATTTGATTAATGCAACTCCAAACACACACGCACAGACTATAGGTAAAAAGAACTACTCTGCATATTTTTAGTATCATAAAAAAACACCGAAGAAGCAGCAACAACAAATCCTTAACACAATCTCTACATGTTCGGAGGACTGATGTCTTGGCTGCTTCTCTGGTGAGCAGACTCTACAGCATACAATTAACATGCTTGCACTAGCTAAGTGGAACATTCTGCTTTTGTCAGCACAGCTGTGATGGACAGCAAGCAAACACTGAAGGTCCTTTGCTTGCACTTTGTGCCACTGCTGTAGCTTTAGCAACACCAACACTGCTACATGCCTTGAAAATGTATTTTATTGGCATTAGCAAGGTCATTCCTCACAAATTAATTATTGAAAATGTATCACTTTCATTATGGTCAACTGTGTTCTCTCTTACTTACACAGCTACTGGCTTCTTCACTCCCGCAATGATGCCATCTAGTATTGCGCTTCCCTCATCTAGTAAGAAGGAAAGTTTCACTCCTCTAGCTTCCAACAGAGCTGCAATCTTCATTGCTCCCTTCTGACCAAGCACCTGTGAGAATCCAGGCAGAGGAACTGGTCAGATTAAGCCACACCATCGGGAAGAACACTGGAAAACATTTTGCTGTCAACAGTGACCAGTGCTACAACACAAGGAATGCAAGAAATCCCCTAATGAACAGCTCTAGAGCAACCTGTCGATAAAAGATTCTTCCTAGCAAAATTCATTGGAGGTTGTTAATGGCCTAGTAGCAGGTGAATTTATATCCACACTGAGGAAAGCTCTCATTCACGAGTCACTGAATGTTGCTCTGTATCCTATTAGTTCTTGGACACAATGATATCTCAGAGCTATAAGCTCCAGAGATTAATTAGCCATTTTAAAGAGGTATTCATTTTAACTATTAACAATTCTTTGTCTTTATATTTTGAAAATGAATAAACAAAACCACCTCATCTGTCTCTCTGTACTGTTTACTAGTGGGTATACCCACAACAAAAGTGGAATACTTCTGTTAGCTCTTCCTGATCATTTGGAACAACCATGTATATCTTAGGCCAGCTTTTCATGTATTACATATACTCCAAAACGCGACTCCTACTGCACCTTCCATGCAGAAAAGAATTTGAAATAACACTCTACTGTTTTCTTTTCTCTTTGCTCATCACACCAAACCCTTTGTCAATGTCACTTAAAGCCAAACAATCAATATATAACTATGACCACGTGCCTGACACAGTATCTACCCACATAACCAAGAAAAACAGGAAGGACTTTCTAGTTAAACAATGTTCAAAAATTAAGCCTTGTTACATACAGGAACAATGCAAACAACTAGTTGTTTTGATGAAATGAAAGAAAATACCTCTTCATCATGTCCAATGCCAACATAGAAAGATCTGTGGGGTCTGTAATTTCTTCTCAGCAAAAATTCTAGAGCTTGCAGAATACCCTGCAGAAAAAAAAAGCAGAATGTATTGTACTATTCTTGTGTGTTAGTAAGGAGAATAAATGTAAAAGGCAGCAATGTAACATAAAAGAAATATCATACATTCAGAGCCCTTAAGGAAACTTTGTCCTGTTCACAGTTGAGCTTTTATTTCTACAACTCCTACTGGTTATATTCATATTCTCTGGAAAACACACTGCAATATACTTGGTCAATAATGCTTAAGACTTAGTATGCTACGCGGTGTCAGTGTACATACACAAAATACAGCGTAGGCTTGTTCTTGCGACTGATGAAGTCAGTGACAAACTGCACAGGAAGCATGACAGAGTTATAATTATCCAAGGAATTCACTGTTCCTTTAAACTGTCTATCCTACACACAGTTTGGCTCTGACTTGAGCTATCAAATCCGTTTATTTTAATAAGCAGTACGTTTTGTACAGAAAGTGCTAAGAAGACAGAAACAGAAGAACAAGAAACTTAATCTGAAGAATGAGAAATGAAATCTACCATTTGCCGCATTTTTCCATCTCACCTGTTTTTTTCAATTTAAGCTAGTTAATTTTTTACATTTCAGCAGAAATTATATTGCTTCTACCTTGTCAGCACCCATTTTTGCCATGTTCACTGAAATTGTTGATTTTTATTGTGCATTTGTGGAGTTACTTGTGCAGTTCACAGCAGAAGGAAGCACCAAAACAAAATTTTAAGTTGCAAGGCTTTGAAATTGATGATTAAACAACTTGAAGAAACTTTCTAGGAGTATGGCCTATGCCCTAACAAGCAGCCACAGCATCTGTGACACTTGTTTGCTAAACATCTGTTTAAATTTAAATACAGGGCTATCATGGAAGTAATCCTTGCAAGTCACAAAGGACTGTTTTCCTTATTAATTTTTCCATCAACCTTTTCCCAAATGAGAAATCCTTCACAGATCCATCTTTTTTTGTACTTTATTCCTCCCAAATGTACTTAGTACAACAGCTCTTAGTTTAGCCACAGACTAGATAATAAAAGATACAAGGTTATTTGACTATAATATTAAATAAACATTGTTTATTTTGAAACTCAAGCCTTTTCAAAGGGCCAAGTTTGGCTTTGAATGCCCATATGACACCTGGGAAAAAGTAAAAGGTCTATCCCTGGTTTCAAACACAGCATTTGACATAAAATTGAAATATGGCATTTAACCAAATACATCTGCATCTGTGAATGTTTTTCTGTATCTTCTAAGAGCTTTAACTCTGCTTTCTTCAGTAATAAAAGACCACTCCACTTCATCTCTAGGAAAAGTTGGGAGAAAACCGCAGGGCTTAGGAATTTATCGCTAACATCCTGCATTTAAAGAAGGGCAAGAGAGACAATATAGTAAATCTCAAGAGAATAGATTCCTCCAATCGGCCTTTTTCAGGCTTTGTATCTCTCTGAAATGGTATTACCAAGACGACGTACTATGGCAGAGTTTTTGTTATCCAGCGTTCCTCGTCCATAGATGAAACCTTCATGCTCTGCAGCTGAGAAAGGAGGGAAATCCCAGCCCTCTGGGGGAGCAGGCACAACATCCATGTGTGCAAGCAGCATATAGGGCATCATTTCAGGGTTAGAACCCTGAACAGTAAAGAGATGGCTGTATTTCCCAACAATTTCATGTTGAATGAACTTTGAAGAAAATACAGCCGGGAAGACTGTTAAGAAAAAAATTAAAAACATGTGAAAAAGAAAAATTAACAATAATGTCCAGTTTTATCATTATATACTCCATAGAGTAGTCATCTATTTAGCCTCAAGGGGAGCACTGTAAATAAGACTGACCGCAACAAATTTGCTTCAGGAAGCAGATGTGCAGCTTCGTTCTCAGACTTCTACCAATCCATCTCACTTTGTATTTAAGACTTTCCTAAGCAAAACCAGGAACTGTTGTTCACCAGTGCTGCAGCTGTTTTGCAGGTAGCAATGACGGGACTGCCAAAAAAGCAGGAAGAAGCAGGGGTAGTCTTCCTTTTTTTTTTTTTTTTACTTAATGGTAAGGTCATTTAACCATCTCAAGGACCAAAAACCACCATTGCAAAAAGACATTTGAACCTTCTCTGTTCTAGCTTTGCCCGTTGCTACACCAAAGTACACTGTTGCAGAGGTGACCTATGCATGCCATTTTTGCCAGTCCTTTCTTGAGGAAAAACAAAATAAAAATATGTTCCATTATATTCAAGAACCATACATACTCTCTTCAGTTTGTTTATGAAAATAAAATTGAGCAGCAGAGATCGCTAAGAATGAAAGTTTAGTACCTTCCCGAATGTAATTCCCAAATTCTGCCATGGCAGTTGTATTCAAGTCCTCTGGAGATACGGAAACAGTTGGGATTTTAATAGCACCTTCAATGAAATACAAAATAGAAATCATTCGACACTGAAATCAGTCAAACAATACTTGAATTGCATTTCAAAAGGGAAAGTATTATTTATGTTCCTGAATATTTTCCAGGCTTTAAAGATTATTTCACAGGATAGTAAGAGCTGCCACTATCAAAAAAGACTGATGTACTTCAGCCGAGCTGTGCACATGCAGCACACCGGTATTTCCTTCCAGTTTCAGCCAAGGTATTTCTCTAGTTACTTCAACTCAATTTTTCATCCTGAAGTGTTGAATGATATTGTTAGAAATGCTACTGCCCAGAAGCAGCTGCATTTTGCTAGGGTGCACTGATTCCTCATAGCCATAAACTATTCCGGCAGCTTAAGCAGGCAGCTTAGTTGGCAGTTCAAGGTTCTTTTTCAATAGGAAGTCAGGCTGTGATGGCAAGACTGTTATAGCACCTTCTTTCATACTGCTCCAGCCCTTAAAGATATATAAACAGACAGGTTTTTTGTTGCTCCTTCTAGTCTGCTCTGTCATTTAAACAGTGTCAGACAGAGCTGCTCTCCAACACTGAGTCACTGTCATGCAAAACATGGGTATAACTTAGTCCCAATCACAGCTGCCTTTCCTAAGAGCATCCGTTAAGTGAAGTTACAGATTCTTTTAAAGGTCATGTTATTCAAGAAGAAACACAGAAATAACTCTCTCTCATATCCCCGCATTTTCCCCATTAAAAAGTATGTAAACAGAATTTGCTAGGCAATAAATCTTCCAAACCAACAACATGAGATTTACAGAACCCAACCCCTACTCAAACAGTCAAGGACCATTGCTTCATGCCAGATTGTGGTTTCCTGCAAACTGCCAGCCCTCATGAGATCTAAATATCCTCAAAGTCTTCTGCAGAAGACTCTGTCAGAGAGCACAAACACACCCTGACTTGTTAAGGACAGGCTGCCCGCAGCGACATGCTGTGCAAGGTTTCAGCCAGCAAGAAAAAAAAAACCCCGACAATGATTTATCCAGTGGACAAAGAGATGGCTAGCAAATGCGGTCACGGGTGCCTGGAGCATTCTGCGTGTACGAGCGGGAAACACTGAAGAAAACCAACATGGGGAAAAAGTTGACTTCAGGAGAATTAACAACCGGTTTCCTCCCAGGGGAAAGCACCTGAGAAAGTGTCCTTCTTCACTGCTGCCCCGTTCCCACCCGCGCCCCACGGCCGGCC